CTCTTTAAGCCAGAGTTCTTCTTCTTTCTTTAATCATTTTATATTCGATGTGTACTGAGTAATTTTATGAGTCTTTTAAATATCTAAGCAAGCCGCTAATACTAATTGAGGTGAAGATTTCTTTGGACATCAAAATTTCATTTCTATTTTCATCTTTATTTAGCTAGGCCTAGACTGTAAGAAACATATTTTATGTGATTTAACCCACATTCTCGAGGTTGATGTGAATATGATAATCGACTCTATCGCGAAAATGCTTTCCTCATTTTTATGTCTTTCTGCTTCATCTTTCAACTTGGCGTTTTTCTTAAATCTTTTTTGACAGCCCATCTCGCATTCTTGAGGCTATCTGCCCTTCTTCTTACGATGAGGCTCAGACTCTGCTTTATAGCCTGCCCAATGAGGCGCCAAACTGGCAAACAAGGCTTTTTGGCCAGGAAGCCGTCAGTCCATTCAACCGCGACCCCAAGCAGCAGGTAAGACAAAGCACCAACCAATCTGAAAGGCAGTTAGCCGGCCAGCTAGTCGACCAGCTGGCCAGCCACTTAGTCGTTCAGCCAACCAAAAAGGAAAAAGAACTTTAAACTTTGTGGTATGTTACCCTCTAGCAGGTGTCCCATATGAGAGGTCGCGAAACCAGGAGAATTTCCTGCTGTAATCCAAGTGACCTGGAGACAAAATGACATGTCCACTATCTCAAGACTGTCGTTTAGAGGCTGATGTGACTGCCAAAGTCTATCTTCTCTCCGCAGCCACACAACAATTTATGTATATGTTCTATGATTTTTACATTTAAGCCAATATATAAAACTTCGCTTGACTAGTTATAGCCTATCTACTTATGATACATTGTAGTTTTTTGAGGATCATTGGAACATATTCATCTCGCTTTGGTGGATTTATCAGTTATTCAGGTCTGCTTTTTATTGCATCATTCGTAGGGCGGCTCCGAGTCAGGGAGGACAGTCAAATCACAAGTGGTCAGACTGTCATAAAATTAAGAATTCTGCCGCCGACAGGGGAAGAATTATCATAAATCGGTCGACTAGTTTCCTTGAGGACTAACTTACCATGATTTGTTTTCGAATCAGCGGGAAAGTTTAAGGGAGGTAAATGAAAAAAAGATTCTCTTGAAATCAATTCTGAAATAGTAAAGATGAGGGATTAGGTAGACATTTTGAAGCTAGCCAAAAGATTAATTATAGTCCATAATTGGAAATGCCAAAAGCAATAAATTATGTGCACAGCGCCAATGCTTAGAAGTCCGTAGTGAATTTGTGAGAAGAAAACTTAAATGAACAAGGTTCATAAAACCGGAT